TTATAGAGCAACCTTATTATACTCATCCTTTAGTTCTGGTAGCTTATTGCAGACTCTAGGATTTTGTAAATACACAATCATGTTTGCAAATAAAAAGAATCCTTTTTTTTTTTTCTTTCCTTTCTCATTTCTTTCTTTCTCTATTTTCCTGATTGCATTGCTAAGAGGGTCTCCAGTGGAACTGCTAAAAATAAACACATTGGTTCGTTTCTGACTTAAGAAAAAAGCATCAGCTAGGGCACCAGCAGCTCAGTGGAGCATCAGCTAGGGCGCCAGCCACATACACTGGAGCTGGCAGGTCAAACCCAGCCTGGGACTTGCCAAACAATGACAACTACAAACAAAAAATAGCCAGGTGTTGTGGCAGATGTCTGTAGTCCCAGCTAGTTTGCAGGCTGAGGCAAAAGAATCCCTGGAGCCCAAGAGTTTGAGGGTGCTGTGAGCTGTGATGCCACATTGCATCCCATAGGTAATTTTTCATCTCTTGCTCACGCTCACCCTCCCCCCTTTTAAATCCCCAGTTATATCACTGTGTGTCCTTGAGTAGCCGTAGTTTAGTTTCCACTTATAATAAGTTAGAATATTTGGCATTTATTTTTCTGTTTCTGAGTTACTTCGGATAATGGCCTCCAGTTTCATCCAAACTGCTGCAAAAGACATTATTTAATTTTATCTTACTGCTGAGTAGTACTCCATGGTATATACACACCACATTTTCTTCATCCACTCATCAGTTGATGAGCCCTTAGGTTGATACCATACCTGTGACTGCGCATTGTGCTGCAATAAACATATAAATGAAGCTGTTTTTGTCTGTTATGTCAAAGATCAGTTACTTGTACATATATGGCTTTATTTCTGGGTTCTCTATTCTGTCCCACTGATGTATCTATTTTTATGGCAGTCCTTATAGTATAATTTTAAGTCTGGTAATGTGATACCTCCAGTTTTGTTCTTTTTACTTAGGATTGCTTTAGCTACTTGGGCTTTTTCAGTTCACATACATTTTAGAATTATTTTTTCTAATTTTGTGATAAATAGTATTGGTGTTTTGATAGGAATTATACTGTATCTATAGATTGCTATGTGCACTATGATCGTTTTAACAATATTGATTCTTCCAATCCACGAATGTGGGCTGTTTCTCCACTTGTTTCGTCTATGACTTCATCAGTAATTTGTAGTTCTTTTCATAGGATCATTCACCTCCTGCGTTAAATATATTCATGGGCATTTAATTTTTTTGTTAATATTACATTTTTAATATTAAAAATGTTAATAATACCTGTTTAAGTTGGTTCTCAGATCATTATTGGTACATAGCAATGCTCCTGAGTTCTGGCTGTGTGCAATGGCTTTCATGTCTGTAATCCTAGCACTCTGGGAGGCTAAGGTGGGAGGATTGCTTGAGCTCAGGAGTTTGTGACCAGCCTGAGCGAACTCCCCAAAATAGAAAAATTAGCTGAATGTGGTAGCACCTGCCTGTAGTCCCAGCTACTCAGAGGCTCAGACAGGATTGCTTTGAGCCCAGGAGTTTGAGGGTGCCATGAGCTATGATACCACTGTACTCTACCTGGGATAAAAGAGAGAGATTGTCTTTAAAAAAAAAAAAATGCTACTGGTATCTGTATGTTAATTTTGTATCCTGATTGCTTACTGAATTCATTATCAAATCTAAAAGTTTTTTTTTTTTGGTGGAGTCTTAGCATATTTTAGATACAAAATCATATCATCAGCAGAGATAATTTGACTTCTGCTTTTTTATTTTATTTTTTATTTTTTTTTTGAGACAGAGCCTCAAGCTGTCCCCCTGGGTAGAGTGCTGTTGCATTACAGCTCATAGCAACCTCCAACTCCTGGGCTCAAGCGAGTCTCCTGCCTCAGCCTCCCAAGTAGCTGGGACCACAAGTGCCCAGCACAACACCCGGCTATTTTTTGGTTGCAGCCGTCATTGTTGTTTGGTGGGCCCAGGCTGGATTTGAACCCACCACCTTAGGTGTATGTGGCTGGCACCTTAGCCACTTGAGCCACAGGCACCAAGCCTGCTTTTTAATTTTGGATGCCCTTTACTTTTTTCTCTTGCTTGATTGCCCTGGGTAGGACTTCCAGTACTATGTTGAATAGGAGAGGTCAAAGTAGGATCTTGTTTCAGTTCTTAGGGTTATTGGGGACTTGGATCTGAGCTAGTCTTTGTGCCCTGGTGGTTGCAGCAGTGGGCTGAGTGTGAATGTTTTTAGGCCCTAGAGCACCTTACACTGGTACTATTGCTAACGGGGGGCCAATTCTTGGGCCTCAACGTGGCTTGCTTAATAGCTAGTGGCGGGTGCCATGGGCCTGCTGTGGGGTGGGTTTCAGGCTCTGGACACCTGGTGTCATACATGTGATGGTGGTAGTTGTGCTGGAGCCACCTATGGGTATCCAAATCATCTGTGTTGGTATTAATGGTAGCTATGATGGGTTGGGTGGGCTATTCCCCAGATCTATGGGGCAGAGCAGTGGGTACTGTCCTAAGTATACTTCAGAGTTTGGGCTCTCATGCATCCCAACTCCACCAGGTGGTATCTGCAGCTGTTGTCACCTAGAACTTGGCCTGAGGGTAGATTCAGCCCAGTTTTAAACTCTCAAAATGGTACCAGCTGTGGGCCTTGAATCAGAGAGGGTGGAGCACTTTTGGGCAAGTAGCAAGCATAAGAAACTGGGGAGTAGGAGTAAGGCGTCAGCCCCATATGCCAGAGGTGGCAGGTTCAAACCCAGCCCCGGCCATAAAAACAAGAAACTGGGGAGTATGTTCCACTCAAGTCTCAGTCTCACAGGAAGGCAGTAGGTATTGCTGTAGGTGTATATAAAAGAGCCTATCTCCTGTTAACTCTTAGCTGGGCCACAGCTGTAGCTGTGTTAGTCTTAGCTCAGCACTGAACTCTCAAAATGGCCTTCCCCATGGAATTCAGGCCCCTTCCCAGGTAAGCAGTATGAGCAGGAAGCTGTGGGGATTGCAGTCCACTCATGTCTCAGTCTCACAGCAGTCCATTGTGTTGCAGAGTGGTGGGTATTGTCCTAGATATGTTAGAAAGCCTGGTTTTCCCTTGTCTTTCCTCAGCTAGGTGGTGGTGTAACTGCACCATTGGAACTCTAATGAGAGTTTTGTGAAAAGAGTGGCATGGTCTGATTTTCACTTTTGAAAAATTGATCTGTGTATGAATGAATGGTGTGGATGCATGAGTACAAGAAGAGCAATTAGGAATTCGATACAGATGGATGGTGACTTGGATCAGAAGGTTGGCAATGGAGCTGGTATGATGAGTGAATTTGAGATAATTTTCAGAGGAAAACTTTATTGGACTTGCTAAGAGATAGTATGAAGGAGAGAGAGAGATCAATGATAGATTTTTGAACTGAGCACCTGGATAGATATTAGTATTATTTATTGAGGAAAAGTCTGGAGGGGGACAAAATAAGCTTGACACATCTCTTAAATACTCAAGTGAAGATAAGTCTTCTGAGTATATATATAAAATATACATTACATATCCAACTGCTTGTCTTCGAGGGAAAAAACCAGGTATGGAAATAACAACTTGAGCTATATCATCATATTGGTAATATTTTAAAGCAGTTGTTTTCCAACCTTTTCTATCTCACAGCCCACTTGGACCTATAGTTAAACTTCCATAGTTGATCAAAGAAAAGGAGTAAAAAAAAAAAAGAATATACTTAGTGTGCTTTGGACTTATTTCAAAAAATCATTTAATTAGTGATCTTTAAAAATTTTCGTGGCACATCTAAGATCCTCTCATGGCACTTCAGTGTGCCGAGGCACACCAGTTGAAAATCGCTGATTTAAAGCATGGTAACGGATGAACTCACCTAGGATGATGGTAGAGTAGGAAGAGTAGACAATTTAGACCTAAGTTATGGACACCACAATATTTAGTGGTAGGACAAAGAGGATCCTGAAGGGGAACCCATAAGGTAGCAAGTAGGAAGTAAATGAGGAGACTCTGATGATGTAGAAGCTGTGATAATGTATTAATTTCCTAGGACTGCCATACAGATTATCACAAACTTGATTACTGGAAATAACAGACTTATTGGAGGCTAGAAGTCTGCAACCAAGGTGTCAGCAGGGTCTATTCCCTCTGCAGGTTCTGGGGAATCCTGGAAATCCTTAGCTTATACTTGCATCAATCCAACCACTACCTCTGTTGTCACATAACCATCTTGCCTATGTTTAGGTGCCAAAATCTCCCTCTTCTTTCTCTTATGCACTAGTCCTTGGATTTAAGGCCTATCCTAATCTAGTATGTCATCATCTTAGCTTGATTATATCCCAAAGACCTTCACTCCAAATAATGGTCACAACACAGACGCTGGGGGTTAGGACTTATCTTTTTTTGCGGGGAGTCAATTCAACCCACTACACTTGAATATTTGGGCGGGACACAATTCAACCCATTATACCTGAATTTGTGATCAGCATCTATTCTCATTTTCTTTTATGTTCAAATCTGTTACTCAAGAGGATGAAGGTAGGGATAACTTTCTCCAGACATTCTTTCCATAATGGTTCCAGATATGATTTAGGTTCTTCCAATAAGATACTCAGAAGATTTGCATCAAGACTGGGAGGTGGAAGCTGTTTACCCCAGTGGTGGTGGTTAATGTATGAACTCCAGCAGATGGGAGTTTCTGTGGTGGCTGGATACTACTTTCCACTGTCTGGTGGAAGCAGATACCTCCAATTTTGGTGCTTTGAGGTATCTCTAGGGTAGTAAGAGATACCTTTAACTTTAGCAGAGATTTCCTATAGCTTTATGGGATTTGGGAGCAACAACTTCCTGAACTAAAGGAATATAGTTTGAAGAGGCGTTTGTATTTTTTCTCTAAATGAGAAATGGTAAAACATGTTTGATGCTTATGAGAATGTTTTAGTAAGGGCACAATTGTTATGTAACCAAAAAATAATACTTTCACATTGTCTCTGATACTTAAAATCAAACATATTAGTGGAAGAGTAAATTAATTTTATTGACTGATGAAAAACTAAGGTGATAAGAAGTATGGATAGTAAACAATAATCGCCAAGTCTGCTGAAATTCTGTATTTCTTCTTTTCACTTTAAGCCAAAAGAACATAAAATTATAGAATGCTAGTGAGCTAGTTGCTTTTAGTTCCTTCAACAAAAACTGCATAGTTTAGCAGTTGCACAACATTAAATATATACATTTTTGCAAAATCCTAAAAGTTTTAATTTTTGTGTTGACTTCAAAGGCTTATGTAATCACCTACACTGGTCAGATTCAGAATTTCTTTTCCCTTTTCTGCCACCCTGTAAAGAAAAATAGAGCAAAATTATTCAGGAAATATCATATGGGGAACATTCTCCTTTTAGGGGTATATGAGACCAAAGTCATTTTGGGGTATGAGAAGAAAGCAACCTCTTTTTTTACATTTGTCAATTTGAGTCTATATGCCACTAAATTGTTTTCTGTATGTTTATTACTATAAATGGTTAAGGTAGATTATAGGAAACAGTTACTTCTCTTGGACTTAGTCTTGACTCAGTAAGATACCCTATGTTTCATTTTCAGAGCTCATTTAACTGTCCTAAGGTTTTTTTAAAAAAATAAAGTTTTTGATCAATACCAAAATAAACCATACATTTAATGTGTTCCATATGATCAGCAAATTTAGTAATTCAGTTCATTAGCCTTCAGGTAATTCAATTTATAATTCAAGTTTTGTTTAGTGTTGTTCATATTAGCATTAGAAATTTGATTTTGGTCATCTATGGATTGAAAAGTAGGCAGTGGCATATATAAATCTGCATGTAATTTGTTCTACATGAAAAACCACTTACTACATTTGACTTAAGTCAATAAAAAAGGCAGGCAGCTTAAAAGACAAGGAGAATTTTATATAAATTACTTATAACATTTTTTGCTTTTTTCTGAGTCAAAAAGTAAATACTCATTGTATTGCAAAAATAAGAAAAATACAAACATACACAGAAGAAAATTAAAATTATCCATAACTATCCCCCTAATTTAACTATAAATAATGATTTGATATATCTCGCTTTAACAGTTTTATAGTTTTCCTCATTTCTATAAGGCTTTGGCCATGGTACCCCAACTTAGTTAATCAATAGAATCACCTAAGTAGTAACCTTTTTTTTTTTTTTTTTTGAGACAGAGCCTCAAGCTGTCCCCCTGGGTAGAGTGCCATGGCATCACAACTCACAGCAAC